ATCATCAGACAGCGGGGAGGAGAGAGAATCCCAGTGTCTATTGGGTACATTAAAGTCGCCGCAAATCACAAAGTGCTTGTCGTGGTCTCGTAGTAATTGGAGAAGGGTGATCAGGTCAATATTTGGTACTCGAAAAACGATCATTAGAGGAGGATTATACAGTACAGCTATCACGTGAGACGATTTGCCCAGCTTCAGTTTAACAGCACACCAGTAATCCATATTGGTGCCAATGCTGCTTGCAGATAAATGCCTCTTTCCCAAGATAACCCCGCCATGACTACCGTTCTGGCGCTCCTGCCGAGCCAGGGTAACATAGTTCCAACGAGGAAAACGTTTGTAGAGTTCGGTCAAACCACGTTTCAGTGACACAGATAACATCCGCATCAGACATCCGCAATTGCTAGGTTCAACAGATTCAATCGGCGATCAATTGATAGCAGTATTTTCGCGTTTAGATATAGAACAGTAGTTGAGTTCAGAAGTTGTCAATCGAGATCGACAACCAAATCTTTCCTATAAAATTTAAGTTTTCGGATCTTCAGTTCAATTTTGTTGACACCCGACTGGATAAGATCATATCGTTTTTTGAGTAGTGCGCGTTCTAATGCACAATCTGCTTCTGAGAGCTCCATTGTTATCACAAGACCTTTGTTTTTATACAAGTGTTCGCGAATCGCCTTCGATACAAAAACGTTTGCGTCAAACTTAGCGCTAAATTGAACGCCGACATTGCGACATCTGCCAGCAATGTAGCGTCCCTTCCGGTAGCAGTCGACGATGGTGCCAGACAGACCCATATTTGTCATCTTGTCCTGTACAGCGGTTTTGTCAAGTATGCGGTTGTACATAGGCGTATCAGGTACATCAGGTAGCCCAGATATACGAACTTTGAAACGATGCGAGTCGTCAGTTTGTGGTTTAGATCGTGGTAAAAGGTAACATGGTGCCCAGAGTTTTGATCATTAGTCAAGCTGCCCGAGCTTTGGGTATGTGTAACAACAGACGTGTACGTTTTCTCAAGAAGTTTGTCAGATTTATCGTTAATGGTTGAAATCATTGGTAGAGATGACTTAGATTCAATTAGCTGACTGAGTGCCTCCCGGAGCAGACACATCAACGAGTCCTTCTTGAGAGATGCCATCATCTTGTTCATCTCCTGGTCAGTGTAGTATAGCTTCGCCAGATCGCCAACGTCAGGGTAGTGGTGAGCAGGTATAGAGGAGCCAGTGGAGTCCGACCAGGAACAAGCAGCTCCAGATACGTCACTATCGTCTCTCATTTCCAATCTCGAAACTATTTAGTAAGGTTATCACAACAATTAGGCTATTGATTAAGAAGAAAATCTCCCTGGCAATACAGATTGCGAATGCCGCTTGCGTGCTGGGCACAATAAATGACCAAACAACTCTCGACGATTTTTTTTGTAACAATATATTTTAATATATATATATATATTTTTTTTTCGTGGAAACAATTTAAATTTATTTGAAGAGACAATTATAATTGTTCCATGGGGAAAAGAATGTGAATTCAGACACAAATAAAAAAAGTTTGAAATGGTAAAAATAAGCACCAGAGTCATATGAAAAGCAACATTTTAAATGGAGATTAAAACAGTTTGAACTTGTTTATCGCCGGAAGTCGGCGCCAATCGGGTCATCGACTTCCACCACCAGAGTCTCGCGGACACAAGCTGCAGTGCCCCGCTGAACAGCAATACCAAGTCTCTGCCGCAGAAAAAGAGTCGCTCTGTCGTCCCCGGTAGCCTGTGTTATTCTCTTGCCCAGGCTAGTGACGAAACGCAGCGTATCGGTTCCCTGTCCTCCAAGGGTTTTAATATATGGTTTCTCCTGTCGAGTTGCGTGTAGTTTTTGAAGAAACTTAACCTGTATCGAATTTAATTTTAAACACATCAACACTAATCATCTCCTTTTTATCATTTCCTTATCTAGAAAATTCCGAAGATTTCGACTGGATAATGTGATGAAGGAACTGCTGACGGTAATCGCGGTTTCTATGATATTTTCGACCTTCTGATTATGATTTGCTTTTTGTCTGATTTTTGGCGATTTTCAAACGTTATTGAAGAAACGTAACCCGTATCGAACTTAATTTAAACACATCAACACTAATCATCTCCTTTTTATCATTCATTTCCTTTTCTAAAAAAACCCGATCATTTTGACTGGATAATGTGATGAACGAACTCTTGACGATGGTGCCAGACAGACCCATATTTGTCATCTTGTCCTGTACAGCGGTTTTGTCAAGTATGCGGTTGTACATAGGCGTATCAGGTACATCAAGTAGCCCAGATATACGAACTTTGAAACGATGCGAGTCGTCAGTTTGTGGTTTAGATCGCGGTAAAAGGTAACATGGTGCCCAGAGTTTTGATCATTAGTCAAGCTGCCCGAGCTTTGGGTATGTGTAACAACAGAAGCGTACGTTTTTTCAAGAAGTTTGTCAACTTTATCGCTAATGGTTGAAATCGTTGGTAGAGATGACTTTGCTTCAATTAGCTGACTGAGTGCCTCCCGGAGCAGACACATCAACGAGTCCTTCTTGAGAGATGCCATCATCTTGTTCATCTTCTGGTCAGTGTAGTATAGCTTCGCCAGATCGCCAACGTCAGGGTAGTGGTGAGCAGGTATAGAGGAGCCAGTGGAGTCCGACCAGGAACAAGCAGCTCCAGATACGTCACTATCGTCTCCCATTTCCAATCTCGAAACTATATAGTAAGTTTATCACAACAATTAGGCTATTGATTAGGAAGCAAATCTCCCTGGCAATACAGATTGCGAATGCCACTTGCGTGCTGGGCACAATAAATGACCTAACAACTCTCGACGATTTTTTTTGTAACAATATATTTTAATATATGGTTTCTCCTGTCGAGTTGCGTGTAGTTATTGAAGAAACTTAACCTGTATCGAATTTAATTTTAAACACATCAACACTAATCATCTCCTTTTTATCATTTCCTTATCTAGAAAATTCCGAGGATTTTGACTGGATAATGTGATGAAGGAACTCTTGGCGGTAACCGCGGTTTCTATGATACTTTCGACCTTCTGATTATGATTTAGTAGTAGTAGTAGTAGTATTCGAACAGGATTTAGGGTTGTTATCCCATGGGTTTGCACCCAAAATGTAGTTTTAGTGTTAATGAGTTCTGAGTTTTCCATTTGGGTTACAGTTTCCACATGGACACATTATTCGCCATGTGCAGCTGTCCATTTCTGAGTATCTTTCGAAGAATTTCCAATAAATTTCCGCTATGTCAGATTTCTGTATGTCAGTTAACTGTTTTGGGGTATGTCGAATTATGACATTGAAAAGTGCTGGGCATCTAATGAAGAAGTCTGAGTTGGTTTTCGAAAGGCGAGTTTTCGGTATTTGATATTAATTTCTTTCATTTTGTCTCGATGAGCTTTTGGTGTTTTCGGCATATTGGTTAATGTCAATTTCGTAGTTATTGCGAACTATAGAAATGAACAGAAGGAGGTCGTGCATTTCAATGTACAGAGACAGCGGTAGCATTCTTAATTTTTGTAGTCTTCACTTATATGGGATATGTGAGTTAAGCATCCATTTGGTCGCCGTTCGCTGAACCTTTTCAATTGCTCGGAGGTTTGATTTCGAGTAGTGTGTTACTGACACGGCATAAACTACAATTGGGACTACATATCCCGTTTAGGCATTTAGCTTAGAAGTTATAGGACAGTTTTTAGAGAGGTTACGCTTTAGTGAGTAAAAAGCCGATAGCGACTTCTGACAACGCTTAGACGCATCTACATTCCATGAGAGAGTGGGTGTTACTAAAATTCCTAGATCCTTTTGTTCAGTTTGGATTTTTAGGATATTTCCATTAATTTGACCTTCCAGCTCGTTTTTGCAATTAACGAGAGTACATTTTCCGGTGTTTAGACGCATTTGGTTTTTACTACACTAATTTTCAATTTTCGTAGTGGCATAGTTCATTTCTGTTTGAGTTGTTGCTATAACCTTAAAGTCATCAGCATATCCAAAAGAGTCTACTATATTCAAGTTATCTGGTAAGTCGTTTATATATAGTATGAAAAGTAATGGTCCCAATAGGGAACCTTGAGGGACACCACTTGTTACGTAACATATCTTAGACTTTGCTTTGTTTATTCGCACATTTTGTTTTCGAAGAAATAAGTAAGAGGCTATTAGTTGAATTGCTTTTCCTCTAAAACCATAACACTTCAATTTATGCATTAAAAGTTGATGCGGAACGCAGTCAAAAGCTTTTTCAAAATCTAGATAGAGCGCTGTTATATTTTTGGTCTTTTGGTCATCATAATTTAGCTATACTTGATGTAAGTAAGCAAGGAAATGGGTAATTGCTGAACGTTTTTTACGAAAACCATATTGAGAGTTATGAAGATGATGTCGCACTCTTTCATAAATGTAGTCAAATAAAACCTTTTCGAAAATTTTTCAGATGCAGCCTAGTAAACTTATCGGTCTGTATCTTTTAATATCGCTTTTGTTCCCATCTTTGAAGATTGGGACAACTTCACTTAACTTCCACGTTTCTGGGAATATACCTTTATTCAAAAAAGTTTGAAAAATTAGGAAGACTGATTTTGATACTGTTTTCCTTAAGTTTGTGTAGACAAGATTTCCCAAATTATCTGGACCTGTTGTTTTTTTGATGTCTAGTTCGAGCATTATTTTCTCAATGCAGTCTTTATTCAGCTCGATGTGGTTGTCTGATTTGCTTTTTGTCTGATTTTAAAAGTAAGATGATGCTTGTAGAACCACATGGTATTTAAAAACTTTTTGAACGTGCTAATTTTAAGTCTGTTCTGAAAACGATTTTTGCAGCTAGGGAGGTTTCAGAGTTTTCATTTGAATTGTTTAGTGTTCTTCAGTTTTAACTATTATGTCTAAAAGCTGACATAGATCAGGTTCGGTGGTTGTCAAACCGGAAAATTAAAAGCTAACTTTGAAGTGTTTTCAGTTCACTTAATGATTAACTCTTTGCTAAGCGATGGTGTCGTTATTAGATCGGAACAACTCTGAATGTTTGAACTATAACAGTAGCGTATCTAACTTCAAGAGTTTAGCTAGTGCGGAAGAGAAAAACGAAGAATGGAGAAAATCAATAAGAGAGACCGTCGAAAAGGCTATTACATCAAAAGTGGAGCAGCGCTTGGATACACCGCCATTAGAAAGAATGAGAAGAAGACAGCGGGAAGCGAGAACGAAAAAAGAGCAGCAGCTGAGAGTATGTATAGTTAGCTACTCTGACACAGTCAGTTTCACTTAAAATGATATAAAAGCCCATTCTTAGCCGCACACGCCGTACTAAAGGCATATTTTGAAATCCATTTTCCGTTTTAAAAAGTATTATTACTGCAAAATGTATTGCAATCGGGTAATAGACGTTTTTTTTCCGTAAAAAACGTTGATCACAGAATGCTCAAAGTTGGAAATGGTAATTGTAGGTTCACAGATAGAGCCGTGCCAAAGTCGTATAAATACATCTCTGTAACAATAATACTATTTGAATTTTTTTGTTTTCGATTCCTGAATTCTTGCCTCAATGAAATTCGACCAATTTATGAGCGAATTAAATAGCCGATTACGCGGTAATAGCACCCTCAAAACAGGTCTCGGACAACCAGCCGACGGGATTTCACGCAGATTTTCAAACCTGTCAAGTACATGAAAATGTTATACTAACTTGACTAATTTTACTGTTTTTGTGACAACTACTAAAATTTGGACCTTTAAAATTGTAATTTTGTACTAAATTTTTACTGGGATATTTTCCAGTTCGTTAAATAAATCGGGTTTGAAACGAATAACTTGCAAACGAATAACTTGCAGTTTTTGGCCTGAAGTCCCCATTTTTTCCATTCGGCTTGAAGTCCCGTCGGCTTGATGTCCGGCACCCGCTAAAGACATAACTTTTCAGATAATCTAATATAATGACTAAGCAAAATTTCGAAATAATTTTCCGTTACTCTCTTCGAAATTTGGAACAATAAGGAAGCAATGAACTTAGTCAAGAACGAAGGCATCTGATGATTTTTCGTTGAAAATGTATCTTATTGGATCGCGCCTATATATTTTTAAAATGTTTTAGTTTTTTTTCTACATTGTAGAGAAGTGCGCTCCTTAGGAGCGCAGAGCTTAATTATGTTGCTACTAAATTATTGTGCAGCGTCGAGGTTCACGTCTTTTTTCGACGAGTTCTCCGCCAATTTGTAATGGTTTTTGTTGAGCCTGGTGCTCCTCCCGTGCTGGCGAAAAGTAAAGAAACAAACTAGCTTTGAGTATTTGTTGTTGGTTTCTCGATGTTTTTACGCTTTCGTTGTAAGTCTAAGCGTCCAAATAAAGCAAACCTCTCTCAATGCCTCGCTCATGTCCCATAAGTTTTTGTATTTTTTTCGCGTTTCTAAAAGTTGGGGAATATTTTTCAGTTTGAAACGCATCTGTCGAGTATTTCCGGTGCATTTTGAAACTGATTGATTTCGCCAAACCTTTGCAATTTTACTTGAAAGTGCAGAGAGCGAAGCTTTTAACCAGCGTTTATATCACTTCGCTTGTTCTCTTGCTTAAACATTTTCTTGACTTCAAACCATGCTATCCAGATTCGACCTAACCGCTTTTTCATGCCTTCTGTCTTCCTAGCCAGACGCACAGAAATCCTGTTTCTCATGTATCACCGCCTCCATATATGATGTTCTCTTCCTTGTTAGCCGTTTCCTCGAAAATAATCACTGTATTTTGTTATCTGTTTTGCTTTCTCAACTATGTCTTTGGGCTCAAAATGGTTATATCAGCCACGAACAGAATGTTCATGGCTTTTTAGATTTTGCTCTTGTTGTTTCGATGTTATCAAATCTGTTCCATGCATGTATGGCCCGGTAGCTTGGATACTTCGATCCCGGCTATCTTTGATGTCCAGTTGTTCCTATTACAACCGGAGCAGGATATTAAATACTATGGGTGATGATTATCAGCTCTCGATCGGTCCTTTATAGGCATCCAAATGGTGCTTTCTTCTGTGTTGCGCGTAACTTTGTATGCAGTTTCTTCATGAACACCTTGATTCGTCGTAGCAAGGTACCTTGGAAACCATACTGCCCCGTTATGTTCCACAGGATAGGCCGAGTAACTCTCGGGTACGTACTCAGATTCATCAGGCATGCTCTTTCCAGGCTACATACCTTTCCTGTTGAAACTTTCTTTTTGAGTTCGTTCGGAAAACTTGTTTGAGTCCGCCAGGCATCAAGTTTTGCGAAGAACCTCCTGGATGTCATCAAGTGCATTGTGCTTCGCCGCTCCATACTGCAATCGGGTTGCTGGAATTTTAGCGAGTAATCTGGTCAGTGAGCAAAATCACGGTAGTTGCCCTCATCTTCCTCTGCTTCTTTCTTGAAATGAGGGGTGTTATCTGAGTTGGAAGAGCTTAAAAGATTGAAACGAAAACTTGCTAATGTTACGGCCTCTGCTCGAACGGTTGAAGAATGAACACGTTTTTTTGTTTTTGAGCTTCTCAGGTCGGTTTTTGAAAGATTTTGGTGTGGTCGGATTTTTGGGACACTGATCTTCGTGCTCTTTCTTTTTCTCTTCTTTCTTAGGACGCATTTTCGATCTGATGTTGTTGGAAGTCTCTGTCCAATGCATAGTGGGCCTTGAGTTAGATATGATTAATTTCACTTTCGAGCCAACACCAGCAAATTTTTTTTGCGCGCTCAGCGGTGCACTGTAGCCTTTTTTTGTTTTAATGAAGTGCGCCGAGAGTCGGATAGTTGCTACCTTCGTCTTCCCTTGTTGCGAGTTGTCGACTTTCTCGCCTTTTCCAGTTTGATGCTGCTTTTCTTGGATTATTAGCCACTGCGAGTATGACCAGACCCGTTAAATCTTTCAGGACGTTTCATTACTGTCATCATCATTTTTATTGTCTGGGCAACCGCTTCCAACGTATGGTTCAGACCAGTACCAGTTTCGATAAGTCTTTTGAGCGGATGATATTTACACTCGTTGAACTTAGGAAAGCTAGTATGTTGCAACCGAGAACGATAGCATGTATGTTGCAAACGGGAAATAGACTTTTTTCCCTTAAAGACTTCCCAGGACTCATCTCTTAGGCTCATCTGCTCGTCCGCTCTGTTGAAACTCCTGCAACACACATGTTTTACCTTTGTAAGTGTTTTGAATGTCTTATTTTAAATTTTCCTTATGTTGTACGTTCACCTACTCGATTTTTCAAAACTTCGTCTAATTTTTTCCCTTGCCTTATTCAGTTCAATAAACTTCGGCCTATTTTATTTTGGCTTAGTGGCTTAATATTGCGTCGTTTGATGAGCGAAAAAAGTTTTCAGTGAGTGCTTTCTGCTTAAAGGCTTTCTGTTTTTTCAGCTAATTCCGATGTTAATTTCACATTCTATTGTCTTGGCATGTCGTTTTTTCAAGCCTAGCTTTATTCTTTTTGATAGATTCAGTATTTTTATACTAGCGAGCGTTGTGTTTTAGTTAGAACCTACTCTTTTCACAAACTGCTTCGCAAATAAAAGTGCTCATTTGGTGGCCTTTTTGCTATAATCACGATCTCGAGGATTGGAAGTTTCATAGCATCTGTTCTTTGCTTTATTTGTGATAAGTGTGAGTGTTACTGACGGTTAAGCGCCCCTGACTGAGAGGGAAGGACATGAACTCCAAATCTCGAGAGCGCTGGTTCGAATCCCATAAATAGCAAAAGTTTTTATAAGTCGAGGCCTATTTCTACTTTTTCTTATTTAGTTAGAGCTGCTTTTTTGTCGTTTTCCCGCTTGTGTTTGGGAAGAGCAGCTTCACATCTGTGTCGATATTTGAATTGCTCGAGTTTTTTTAACTGAGCGGTTTTCTTGTATGTATGGTAAGTGATGCGAAGCTCCGTTTCGCCTCCGTGTACAGATATTAGCTGAATGCATAGTTCAAACACGCACACACAAACAAGCGCTTTCAATTGCATAATTTCTAGAGTTATACTTCACATCCTTCTAGACAACTCACATATGTTTCAAATTATTTTTCTAAGCACAATATAAGAAATGCCCTTAAAAAAACACAAAAACAACTATCTAATAACTTCAAAACAAACAAATACACGGACATAGCATACAGATTTCCCTGCGAACTAAAAATTTTACCTATTGAGCCAGTTTTTTCAATTTGGGCTAATTTAATCAAAAAAGTGTCAATCATTAATTGTTTTTGAAATTCAAAGAGCTTTAAGGGCATTTTTTTTTCGTATAAATTCGATTTTTTAAAGAACAAGTCCGTAGTTTTTTGTTTACTTGCGTTCATTGACTTTTTCGCATAGTCTGTTGACTATTTTCTTGTTCTTTTACGCTTTTCCAACTATCTGTTTTCCGTTTTCCAACAATTCCGTTTTTCGTTTGTTTCTTTCGACGAAAACTTCAGTGAATATTCAATCGACTCATTATTTGTTGTTTCAAATTGGCGGTCTTTTTTTTCAGCTGTGCATGTTTAGGTGAATATAAATTGTAGCATTTCAATGTTTGGAATTTATGCCGTCCGTTTTTAGATTCTCATCTTTTTTGCCCCACTTGGTGTAAATTGATAATGGTGTAATAATTTAAGGACCTGGAGCAGAATATGATTCTTTCGCAATCTGCAAACGCGGGTTTGATCGGGGATTCATGGAAACGAAAATTTGCTAATCTTGACAATGGAATCACAGATTCAGAATTCTTGAAGAAGTTAGATAGGATGAAAAATCCACGCGGAGTTTCGGCAATTCCGGTATCAGATCAGCCATCGTCATCGTGTTCTAGCTCGGCCGACGTCAATGTGCTTAGTTATAACTCACCCTCGGCGAACGAAAGCAAGCTCGCCAATAACACGGTTCCAAGTGACTGGATCGACTCAAGTGATAACAGTGATAACATATTTTCGACGACAGCCTACGAAACAAAGAGAATGCTGTTTCGAAAATTCTGCAAGGAAGGATTCAAGGAAGCAGTGAGAAATGGAAGTATTCAATCCACGGACTGCAAAGGAGTTTTTGCGGATGAAATTGGAATGGAACTATCTTACGATGGACCCTTTTGGCCTAGTGGTTACGGACCTTTGGTCAAAACTCCAAATCATATTATAGACGTTCCAAAAAATCCAGAACTTCTATCTTTTGCTTTAGGTCTGTATAATTTCTCATACTTTGATTTTTGGTTACACTTTAAACTATGTGGTAGATTTTTCTGTAACAACAAAACATTTAAGGAAAATTGACATTGGAGCTCAACTATTTTTTTTTCGATTTTACTTTTTTGAATGACTTTTAACACAATTAGTTTGCTGGCTGTAATGTAAAATCGTGAATTTTGATTTAGACCTAATTTTGGTGTGAAATCAAACGCCTTCCTTGATGTTTTTTGGTATCGGTAATATTACAATGCAGTCATATATTTTTTAGGCGAGAACAACAATGGTGCTGATTCGAGTAGCCAATCAGGACCGTGCAATACTAGCAACAGGACTGTGTCCAATAGTAGTGTTAACAACGAGCGAGCCCGCTATGTGCAATATCCTCTATGGGAGTCGCCTCTCCTAGTCTACGATTCCTCGAGATTCGTAACATCCCCAGTTCCCCATGAGGTTCCAGAGAACTCACTGCCTTCCTTAGTTTTTGAGTCCCGATTCGAGTGTGGAAACTTGGCCTTAGCTTTTAGAGTGTAAGTTACTGCTGTTTTGCTGGTAGTTTTTCATTTCGAAACCGTGAACGAAATTTCTCTATCAAGGTTTTTCTAATGATCTGTTATGTTGTATATTTAAATTTGATGTTTTCTTTCTTTCTTTCTTTAAGGTTTTTCTAAAACTATGGAGTTCATGAAATGAGAAGAAATCAAGATTGGTATCACTCTACGTTATTGCTGAAGTAAACTTCGTATATAATTTCTAAATGGTGAAATGTTATCGCTGAATTGAACTTCGTAATTTCTATAATTTCTAAATGGTGAATTCTTTGTTATATTTTGGCCTGGCAATTGTTGTCTGTAGTCGTTCAAGGAGGAGGAGGCCCGCCCTGTCTTTGTCTCTTTTGCTTTGTCTCCTCTCGTCAATGGATGTTACGTTGAAGCTGATGTTTATTTGGTTTTGCTTGTTTTCAGAGGTGAATTGGACTACGAGTTGGTGTTGCGAGCAGATCTGTTCACGGATAGACACACTCAGTGGTTCTACTTCAGAGTGGGCGGCATGGTTCCCGGAGTGAGCTACTGCTTCAAAATCATCAACCTATCCAAACCTGACTCACTCTACAATTGTGGTAGGCCTCTTGTAGTTAGTAGGCATTTTTGATGGGCTTTACTTGTAGTTAGAGGCTCTTGTAGTTATTAGGCCTCTTGATGGGCTTAACTGATGCTGAAGTTAAATTTGTGATGCTTAAATATGTCTGAATTGAAGCCTTTAATCAGTTGTTTCATGTGTAGATAGGCGGCAGCTATTCGGGAATCCTTTTCGGCTTCGCATTTTAAATTGAATTGATATGTTTTAATTTTTTTGAGTCAGTAGAAACTATTTTAAAATAATGTGATTTCTTGTCATGATTGACTATTTAAGACGCATTCTTTTTGGATAACGAAAATATTGGATAGAACTATCTGATATACATCACCATTTTTTGTCCTCTTACAACCAAATCCCCAACCGCCCCATTTTGTCAATTCACGCTACGTAAAGATGCCCCTCCTTCTTTAATTATGATACATATTTTTTGCTGTCCTTCATCGAGAATATCAATTTCTATACTTCACATTGCATCAGTAGCAGATTTAGGGGGAGAGGGGCTACATTTTTTTAAGGCGCCTCGGGCAGCAATACATTCTAAGTTTGAGGGTGGAGCGCGCGCCGAAAAACGCAATTTTTGGTCGAAGCTGTCCTAAAAGTGCTTAAAAACGCCTTTTTTACCTGTTTTTTTTCTTCAAACGGTCTTTTTAGTGCTTTGGGAGAGCTCAGAAAATCAATTTAGTCGACCTAAAAAAAGGTCAATAAAAAAAGGTCAACATCGCATCATTCCAGAACTCAAATTTTGTTTTGAAATTGATTTTTTGTTCAGGCATGCGTCCGCTGATGTATTCTGAAATCACGGCCATTGGCAAATCAATTGGGTGGCATAGGATAGGTCACCACGTCACCTACTCTCCCAAAACAGAAGTGAAATGTGCCAAATACTGCAAGACTGGAGTGCCGCTGTCGTCCTCAGCCGAACTGGAGTTCCAGTTTGCAGTTCTTTCGTGGCAAGTGGAATTCACACACAAAGGAGACATGTGCTACTTCGCTCATTGCTACCCTTACACTTTCACAAGATTACGAAACTTCATAGGTCAGCAAAAATTATAAATTATCGGCTCTTTTCCATCACCCCCCCCCCCCCCCCCCCGAAAAATCGAAAATTTCTTTTTTGGATTTTTCAAAGTAATTTTACATGTGATTATGGCTAAACGCGTGATGTTGCGATTTAAGGTATGGACAAAAAATCTGTTCACAATACTTTGTTTGTTCACCATGCAAAATTTCATTACTTTATGACAATGTTTAAATAGTTTTTTAAAACTGAAATTGAAATGAGAGGAAAAGTGGAAAAGAGCCAAGTATCTTAACATAATAATGCTCTGATAAATTACCAAGTGTCACGGCAATAGAAGACTGGGTCACGGCAGTGGGGAGAGATGCGACGGCTTCTCCTCTCAGAAATTCGAAAATCCGCTGAAAAAATACGTAAAAACTTTGAATTAACGCTCTTTTAGAACCGCCTCTGGGTATAACCATTGTAATGCTAGCATATTAAGAGCAATGAACGTAGTGAAGACTCTTATATAGGTCTTGCTGATTTTTTTTTTTGCTTTTTTTTCCAGGAAAAAGTCTTAAAATATTGATGCACTTTGATATAATGCACTTTTTGAGTTCAATTGAACTTCATCTGCTGAAATTGGACGTAAATAGCAATCTCCAATTACGAACGTGGAAATGGCGCAAAAAACATGAACTATTTCTAATTTCGAAAGTGGAATTTAATTTTTAGATTTCCTGTGGAACGAAAACTTTACCCATTGATCCAGTTTTCTCAAATTGGGTTAATGTTATCAAAAAAGCGCCACGGTCTGGTAATTCAAAGAGCTTAAAGGGCATCTATTTTTTTCTCTGAAATTCGAAAGTTGAGATTTTTTCAACAAAGTCAAGTGTTTTTTTTCTATGTTTACTTGCGTTCATTACTCTTTCCAATCTTCGCTTGGCTATGTTAAATTGCCAAGTGTCCAAGCAATAGAAGATTGGGACGGGGGTGCGACGGTTTTTTTTCTCTGAAGTTCGAACATCCGCTGAAAAAATACGTATAAACTTTGAAAGACCGCCTCTGGGTAGAACCTTTGTAATGCTTATATATTTGATTGCTGTTACGCTTGCGAGAGCAGGTGTATTGTCGCAATTGGGAGCTAGATTTAAGTTATCGTGAACAACTCTGTTCACAAGCCTCATCCCATGGACGTCTCGTTGAATATTAGTGAAACAAACGTTCTTTGAGCATGTTTGCATTTCAAATACGTAGGGGCAGATCTAGAAATTTCTCGAGGGGTTGGGCGGATCTAGGAATTTCTCGATGGGTGGGGCGGATTTTCAAAAAATTTTCAGGAAACTAACAGGACCTATGCATGTTCTCACTACATTCATTCACATTTAAAAATATAAAGAGTGTTTTTCCAAAAAATTGATTTACAGAAAAGCTTAAGCTAAAGCAAGGTAATGAGGGAGGGAACAGAGCCACTTCCAATAAACTAAATTAAAAAACAAAAGAATCACTTGAAAAACCTGTGTAAGATGATATGATGAAAATGGGCTTTGGAAGATTAGAACATAGCCAACAGACAGTTGGAAAAGATTCAATGAACGCAAATGAACAGAAAAAAAACCGACTCGGCCCAAAAACGCAATTCGGGCGAAAAATTTGCGGCCGAAAAATTGTTTTTTTTTGGGCGCGTGCTACCCTTTAACATTAGTATATTTTGGCGCCAAGCGCGCCTTTAGAAAGTTTCAGGGTTGGTCGGCCGAAAATGGATAATTTTTACCCCTGCGATAGGCAAGAGTATTGCAATCGGGTACTACCCGGAAACAACTTTGTCCACATTTCTAGAGGAGGATCTCTTGTAGAGGATCTTCACTTCTAGAGTATCTTCTGATTTCAGGTTGTGATTTCAGGTTGTAATTATCTTTTCAAAGATTTGAATTTAGATTGTAATTATCTTTTCAAGTTTCAGGTTGTAATTATATTTAAAAAAAAAATGTCTCCATTATTTTTCGGGTTCACGGTTTTCGTCTTAGTTTTGGTCGGTGTATTTTCCGTTTTTTTAAACGCCATTTTTATCTGATTGAGTTTTTGTTGGTTTACTCTTTAAAGCATTGGTTTGCTTTTTGTTTCAATTTGTACAGTTTTTACTATAACTGAAACTTCCCAACTTTGTAATTTTACCGTCTGATTTTGAGTTATTTTCCATTTTTTAAAATATTCAAACAGTTTCAGCTTATGGTATATCGACTTAGTCATTTTATTTTGCGTAATTTCGGGGGCCAAATATCCGTTTGGGATGATGTGTTTCAGTTTGGATGGGTCGTAAAATGTTTTGAATTTTATGGAGTTTTTTATGACAGTAGTTTTGTTTTCGGCTCAACAGATTTTGATCCAAAGTTTGTCGCCTTTTTTGCCGCTCGGGGCTGTCTATTAACTTCATCCGATACAAATATGCAGTTTCTGTAGCTGTAATTTTTCAATTTTTGTCAAGTTAATTTTTCAGAAATGTTTTTTGATATCTGTCTTTTTTTCATCCACCATTTTGTAGCGCAATGTGTTTTTACATCGTAAGTGTTGCAAAGCTCCGCATCGCATCTGTATTTGAAATAACAGTTTATATGAGATGTCTGTTGAAATGACGTGTCGGTTCACTTGACATGCCCGTTTTTTCTCCATTATATCCTCTAGCTATTTCTATTATCTCTTATAGGCGGTATCCAAGAAGATTGTTTGATTACTTTAGCGATAAGCAAGGGTATTAAAATCGGGTACTAGACTTTTCCCGTAAACAACTTTGTCCTCATTGCTCTCCTGATGTACCTTAGTTCATAATCGAATCAAATTTTGTAGTGTCTTTTGCACATTTGGCCTGGTGGTAACGAATACCTGATTTTTTTTTCAAACGGTGAATATTCCGGTTCAAAACAATTTCGTTCTTTTATTTGTCAGCCTGTGTTTTGTCGGCTTAGTTGCCACACCCATGAATCGTTTATTTTAGCTGTAAATATTTTTCAATGCAGTTGCTTTAAGCATTTTAAAATCCGGCCCAATCGAAATTTACTTTTCACAATGGTTGTATTTTTAGCAGCTCGATTTGTTAAAAATGTGCGGTTCGAATCCGGCCGGGCTTTTTTTTTGCAAATTAGAAGTCTTTTTGTCGGATTGGTTCCCGTAGCTGGATGGTTCAGCTTCATTCAAAGTTGCTGTAACACGCTGTAGAGTTTCTAATGTTGCAGGCAGTTTTATTATATCGCAAGTGGTGCGAAGCTCAGTTCCACCTCTGTATAATTAATACTAACAAAAATTGTGCACGAGAAGGGAGCATTTTGCGTATAATTAAAATATATGCTAGTTTTCAGAGGATAGCGGTTTCAAAAAAGCGCCTAAAACGTCGCATTGGCCTGCAGAAAATTTTCTCACTCAAAATAGGGTTATATTTTTTGGGAGAGCGCGGAAAGTCAGGTCAGCAAAATTGTAATAGAAACCCCCCCCCCCACCTCCGCTCGAGGAAATCCCAGATCGCCGCCTACATTGGTTGGTGAGGGGGTCGCAAATACCCGTTTATTTTAAAATTTGTTTGATGTGTTTAGTCTATTAACAATCTGTTTTATCGGCTTAGTAGCCTCATATTGCCTCCTTGATGTTTTTTTTGTAAATTGAATTTAATCCGAGACAGCGTTATGCGAAAGTTTTGGTAGATGTAGTTTCTCAAAATTTTGGCTCATTTTTCGTTTGTTCGCGGTGTTATGTCTTAGACGTATCGTAACTGACGTGAAGCACCCCTTCGCCTCTGTGTCTAAATGATTATTTAATCTTTAGATGGCTTTACAGCTTAAATTTGTTGAAGCGTTTTATGATTTAAATATGCCCATTAGTGCTGACGCAGTGTTACGATTCACTAACCAAAACATTGTTTTCAGTCGACATCCTTAGTCCTTACATAGATTACATTTGCTTGGAAATGCGTTAGATACGTAGACGTTTTTTTGAGTTGTGTTAATGACGGCTGAATCGTTTTGAAAATTTAATAGATGTTTTGCACAGCTCTTGCAAGTGTACATGTATGTCTATATTTTGTATGTATCTAATTCCGTGTTACAAGAAAATTAATTGAATCATGTCAGTCAATGTCTCAGCAATTGATTGCGAATTCTAGGCAACCAAACAACTGTAAAACTTAGCAAGTGTGGCGTTTGTTGTAAATTTTTCCATGAAACATTCATTTCACACGATCTGGGAACTATCTGATGTGTTTGTCAGGGGCGGATCTAGGATTTTCTCGAAAAATTGATTTTCCGAGCTCTCCCAAAGCACTAAAAAGACCCTGTTTTGGTAAAATTTTGCTGCGCCAAAAATTGATATCTCAAAATAGTACAAAGGGGGGGGACCCTTTGGGTCGACAGGGGTTCTAGTCCTTAAGGGGGCGTCCACCTCCCCCCTAAATCCACCTCTGGTGTTTGTTAAGCTTCAGCTCATTTACTTCTGCCTTTCGTACTTCAATTTGATTAAAGCACTCGCGAAGAATTTAAATCATCAATTTGAGCATGAAAACTTGAAATATAAAATTTGGAAATTAGAAAATTAGTTTCGAACTAATTTTAAATTTTTTTTTTCAGGTCTTCTGTGTGAGAAGAACGGAGCGAAGAAGTGTCTTAAGAAGGAGACGCTCTGTGAAACTCGAGCTAAAAACACTTGCTACCTTTTGACCATAACGAACCAAGATGGTATGTAGCCCTATGAAAAATCTCATTGCTTAACTCAGATTTTTCAACAATTTTGGAAAGTCAAGTGTTAATTTCTCTTCGCATAGCTGCCTTCTAAAAAAAATTTTACGTTTAAGATTAGCAAGCGTTATCAAACCGAAATATAGACTTTTTCGGGTTAACAACTTGTTTAACAGAATAACTTGGTTCATAATGAATTCAAATTTCTATGCAATCCAAGCCAACTTAGCCTGGAGGTAACGAATATGCCTGGGACGGCAAAGGTTCCGGTTTTTTGCAAACTGGAATTTTTATGTTTCAAATAAAATTGTCGGCCAATTATTTGTCTGCTGATCTGTTTTCGGCTTAGTTGTCTTACCTTGGAATCGTTTTTTTTTGCTGCGCCCGATGATTTTGATTAATGTTGCTTTTAGTGTTTGATTTCCTTGTACAATTTGTAGTTAACTTACCTTGATTTCGTATTTCCTTCTTCTTTTTTTTTCGCTAAAAAAAAAATTCCTCGGCCTGTTTTTCATCGGCTTAATGACTAATTTTGGGTCGTTTCAAAGGAAACACTGTTTAAACACTCCTATCCGCACTTTTCAAGTTGGTTGCATGATTGCATGATTACCAATCAGTTTGTTGAAATTTTTCCCTTATGAAAAACTATTTCCAAATTTATTGGAAAAATTTTAGTTGTCTCAAAGTTCTATTGCTTTTCAAAAAAGGGGTATGAATTGAAAGCTGCCTACTCCGCTAGAGACTGAATACTCCCCTAGAGTCTCTTTTTACTTGACTCATCTGTCTACGGCCTTCGAAAAAGTCTGTGGGGGATTATTTGACTTACATTTATGATTTTTTTTTGTTTTCTCGAAAAATACCCCCTTAAATCTGAGTTTTTGGTTTTAATGAATAGAAAGATTTTCGAAAGCTCCCTGCATAAGCAGTCACGCCCAAATTTCTTGAAAACTAGCCGCTCAAATCTGATGTTGTGGGTTTAATGGAGATAAAGGGTAGTGGTAAGCTCCCCTGGATCAGCTGCCACAGTAGTTAACACTAAAAGTTATCGCCCTCTGAAAAGTCAAATTTATGATTTTTGACCGTTTGTAAACTTTTTGAATATTCTTGAGAGCTACTCTGCTATATCTGAGCTTTTGGGATCAATTCAAAGAACGGGTTGTGGGAAGTTCATTTGCTTAGCCGACTACGCCCAAATTTTCTGACCTAAAAGTTAATATTCTCGGAAAAGTCAAAAATTTGACTTTCTGACTTTTTTCGCAGTGATTTGTTGACCGTTTTTTTTTTGAGAAATATCCTCCCAAATTGAGAATTTTTGGGTTCAATCAAAATAACAATGTTGAGTGAATTTCTTCTCTCAACATGAATCACCAAGACCTATATAAGAGTCTTCACTGCGTTCGTCGACTCTTAATAAAAGTACAAGAAGTTTTCATTTCTAGAAAAAGGATCATTTTCGTATAGCAGAAAGTAAAAATGCCCGTTATTTCATTGAAATGATAAGATAAAGGTTCGATAGCGATTTTGATATACTTATCTTGATTGGTCATTTTGCTGCAGTGACTATTTTTTTTGCAAAAATGAAGCAAATTCAGTTTTTTTTAAATTATTTCAATGAAATGACGGGCAATGTTATAGATTAGATAGAGATTTTAATTTAATCAAAATAATTTTCTGATTATTTGATATAAATGAAATAATTTGTTGTTCTCAGATTTTGACACATCTATCTCCCATAAACTTAATGGAAACAATTTTGAATTGAAACATCTATCAACTTTGAAGGGAACATCTATCTCCCATAAACTTAATGGAAACAACTTTGAATTGAAAGCTTCGCCTCTGTGTATAATATTCATTGCATTACGTACTATTATGAAACTTTTCAAAACAAGTCATTTTAAAAGTTTTTAAAAAACAGTCATTTTTTCTTTTTCAATGCTTGTATCGACTCTTTTGATCTGCCTGTTGTCTTTGCTCTGGAAAGTAAATTATCAGTCTTCTATCAGTAGGTTTTATGCTTAGGTTTTAATATCAGTATGTTTAGGTTTTCTTGGCTTAGGTTCCGCAGCTTGAATTTTATGCTGATTCAATTTTTTTGAACTAAAATTGGTAGTAATTTTGATTTATGCCTGTTGTTGTAAATGTAATTGCTCCGATATTTTAAGGTTTCTCATGTTTTTAAAGATAAATTTACTTAGAATTATGTAATTGTTTTCTTCCTCTGTGAGTTTTATATATCAATAAATTCAGCTTTTTGAATTATTACCTTATTTGCGAAAATAAATTTGTTATGATGGCATATATGGAGCGTCTGATCTGGATTCGATTTTCAGGAGTTTTTAATTTCCTTCTTTTGAAAGTCGATGAACGTAGTGCAGTCTCTTATAAAGGTCGCGATTTTTTTCGCTTTTTTTAGGAGTCTTTAAATTTGTTCAGGCTCAAATTTACTTTTTCGCGATTGGTTTTTTGATTTCCTTTTAAGTTAAGTTCTTTTCCTTTGTGAAAAGAAAGGCAAACTCACTTTTCGAACAGCAAAAGTAAAATGTCCCAAAAAATGTGATCAATTTCTAGTTTCGAAAATGGACTTTAATTTTCAGATTTCCCAGCTAAATAAAAAAGGTTGATCCAGTTTTCTCAAATTGGTTAAATTTAATCGAAAAGAGCCAATCATAAACTGTTCTAGAAAATCAAAGGGCTTCAGGAAAAAGGTTGCCTCAGATTTCCCAGCGGAAGATAAAAGTTGTCTAGTTTCTCCTAGGATTAAAGTTTCTAATTGTATTTCGTGTATCAAAAAATCGAGTCAAAGATTCATGAAATCATGGAGGGATCTAGGGTTTTCTCGTGGGTGTGTTTCAAAATTTCATCGAAATATTTGTCGATCTTTTTTAGGTCGACCAAAATGATTTAAAGACCCTCATCTGACCCGCAGGCAATTTTTTTGAAAAAAAACAGCCAAATTGCCGTTTTGGGCTTTGTGGAAAATTTTGACCAAAAGATTGCGTTTTTTCGTCGCGCGCTCCCGTCAAAATTAGTATATATTGGCGTCAAAGGCGCTTTTAGAAAAATTGTAACTTTTAGAAAATCAAAACTAGTTGACCTTACATGACCTTATTTTTGTGTGAAGTTGTGATTTGAGAGTGCAATTAGTAGCAATCAATTTTCAGAACTTCTGAGACCTTGATAAAAATAACACTCTTTTAACCAGGGGTGGATCGAGGGTTTCATCGATTTCAAAAAGGATCGAGGGTTTCATAATTTTCAAAAAAAAGTTCGAAATTGTAGGTTGGTTGGCCGAAAATGGGTATCATAAAACAATACCAACGGGGGGAGCCTTTGGTTGGGGGTCGGATTCCTGAAGGGGGTGCCCGCCGACCTCTCCTTAAATCCGCCCCTGCATGAAATTCATGGAGCTTTAAGCTGATGTATTTTTTACTTTGTAGCTCGAAAGTAGAAAAAATTTAAAATTAAGTGGTTTCATTGAGTTCATTGATCGCTCTGATTGCAACTGATCTCTCTTTTTTGTTTACCGATGCCAGAAGGCTGAGGGTGACCACCCTGTACCCTTTTTTCTTTTGTAATCCCGCCCCCTTATTTCGCCGCTTAAAAATTTTCCTCCACTTCGAATAAAGTCCGCCAATTTTGTCCTTCCCGTCCTGTTTGAAAGGCTGTGTGCAGACAAAAGAGGGAATTTGTGTGAATTTGCGTGGACTTAAGAACTCAAGTGTACTCATGAAAAATAGAAGAGGCATAAAGAAATGTAATACGAGATGGAAGCGGTGCTTCGTCTCTTGTTCTATGTATCGGTTTGCTTTTCTCTTATTACAGTTTTTTTATTTTGATTTTCTAACTGGGAACTGAGAACGAAATTTAAACCGAAATAATGCCACGGGACAAAGAAGTTACCACTTGTCGTTTTTAACCGAGCAAATGAACAAATCGTTTGCAGAGTTTGGACGTTTTTTTTGGAAGATATTCAAGAAAGGGGGTCCAAGTTTTGATTAAAATGTTTCAGAGGATCAGACTGGAACAAAAATGGAAAAATGAAACAGGTTTCAATGGCACTGTTTGGCAAGATAATGTTTTTAGAGAGGTATTCTTTATAAATGTAAGTGCTCGAAGTGATTGTCACTATTAAAGGGGGGTGATGATGATTTCCTCCCTTGGGGGTCGGATTTCTTGCTTGGAAAGTGGAATTTAAGGAAAAAGCTAACATTTGGTTTTCGGCGGTTTCAATTTTTGAATTCATTTTATTATCAATTCATTTTCTTTGTTTAAAGGAAGGTAACTGCAATATCGAGCTCCACTATCGAACTCCATTATCGAGCTGCAGTGTAAAGGGTATGAAAAACGTGATTATCTTCCAGTTTCGAAAGTGCTATTTAATTAAGAGTCGATGAACGTAATTTAGACAAATGGTTTTGGCACATTTGGTTTTTTCAAGTTCAGTTTATTTCTTTTATTAAAAGGAAAGCAAACTCCACAATCTAACAGAGAAAGTGCAAGGGTCACGAAAAACGTGATCGACTTCTAGTTTGGAAAGTGGAATTTAATTGTCGAATTTCTCAGCGATTAATAAGTTTTAACTTTTGATCCAGTTTCTCAAATGATGTAAAAAAAGTGTGTTTATGTTATCAAAAAAGTTTCAGCCATAAATTGTTTCAGAAATATTTTTTTTGTTTCAGAATCTTTTTTTTCTGTGAATTTCAAAACTAAGGTTTTCGCAAAAATTAAGTCCTTTAATGAATTTATTGATGCACTTAGGTATACCTGTACTTAAAGAGTTCAATTCAATTTCATCTGCTAAAATTTAGGTGATTGCGCTCTCCAATTTTGAATGCGGAAGTAGCATGAAAATATGTTGCGACTTCTAGTTTTAAACTTTTTTAAAACTTTTTATTTATCCCAATATGATAAAAAATAATTCATTGATTCAGTTCTAAGAGGGGAGCGTCCTTTATTTTGAAATTTGATTTTTTTTACTTGTGAACGCAAATGTCTTT